CCTGCAATAAGCGTGCTGTTAACTTAATCGGTACGTAACTATAAACTAACAACACACAACACTACGTCTTAAATAGTCTTCTATTGGGCATTGAACTTTCCAAAAATTAGGACAAAGAGAAAGAAGGCTAGAACGAACATAGATATGCAGTAATTTATACAGACTCTCTGAAGTTATGATAGTTCTAGAAACAACAACTGAAGCAGTGGACATTTTTGCACTTTGCTATTTATTTCAGTGACGCAAATTCGCATTACACAGCAAAAAGATGAAACGCAATAGGGATAAAAGCGTCGTTTACACAAAGTATGTTGGGTTACATTGTTAATAGTTTGTAAATATCTAATGCGAACGGTCCAGTAAGTAGGGTAGGTACTAGGAAAGAATTATAGATTTGTTTTATACAATTTTCCGCTCCCGTCCAATTTTCTTTTCCTTTTTATGTTTTGTTGGCAGGTATTTCATTGTTTGAAGCTGTGCCGACGTCCTGTTCTGAGATAATTAAGGTCCTTTGTTACAATATCTTTATTGACATATGTATATTATAAATACATTAACGAATTGAGAACCTTCTTCTTTGAATATGGTTCAAATGGACATTAGAACATATTCCTTAATTTAGGCATTTGTTGTACATTCGCACCATTTGTTCGTTGGCGGATGTGGGCTCGCAGCACTACTTCCGGTAAGGATAAATGAACATACCATTTTAGCCAGATGTTCCCTTATTGCCCCTCTCTCCCTGCATAAACACGTTAAATTTATCTTTTGGGAAATTTTGACGTATTTATAATAATAATAACGTGGCAGACAACTGCTCACCAGCCAATCACCAGAGAATTCCGCCTATGAGTACCAGAGCAAAGGAATTCACTCCGGGGCACTACCCAGAACACCCGCATAAGAAACAATTTAGAAAAGCAATATGTTTTATGATACCAAGTGGCGGAACGAACAAGTCGTGTGCCTATTGTTAAGCCACACGCCTGTCCATAGGAATACATTTGCCAAATTGGTCCTACCGGGAACAGAACCTGGTACTTCTTTATCCATCGCTCACAGTGCAAACTGCTGGGCTACCGAAAACGTGTTTGAAAAGGATACATACAGTTTGACGTTTATGCAACTTTTACTCGATTATTGACTAAAAAAGTAGTTTAAGTTTAGTAGAAATTCCTTAGACGATTATTTTGCTGGTTAGGTAGATAGATAGTCATATTAAGGAGGCCAAAAAGTTCACAACCATTATACGGTAATACAGCGTTAACATCCGTGAGTCTTAATAAGCAATGCTCGTTTTGCTCTGTAAAAATAAACCAGTATGCAACTGCTTATATAAAATCGATAAACAAAACCAAAACGGGCAGCTGGCAGCTTCAACTACGTATAAAGTTTAAAGTATGTCTGTGGTTTAAAGAATGCAGCGAGTCGGCTCATCCCGTGTAACCTTGGTATCACGAGCATAAAAAACCCCTACGCTAAATAGGCCTCTTTACATTCACATATAAAGTCGGTGGCATCTACTTTTTTAAAGGTTTGTGCGAGAGAGCCGAACACTATCTACGCCATTGCGGCTGTCAAAAATAACTAACTAGTAACTCGTTTGAGACGTATCTCGAAGCAGCAGGTGTTTGCATTAATTTTAGATAGTGCAATAAAAATACAGACACCAACTTTATATTTAGAGCAGCATAATAAATATCAGCATTGCTGTTGTAAAGGCATGATCTATCGTAATATTTATAATATAATAACGCAACATAACTATTTTTAAAGCTCTAGTTTAAAGCTATTTGACATTAAAGGAAGTTGAGTAACCATAACTTTGTTAACTTATTTCACTGTAATATGTTTGTTATTCGACGTAAATAATTTTCTCGATACACAGTTCGCTGCTGTTATTAAAACTTTGACTTCGTTAAAATGGATTTGTATATTCTAAATTTTGAATGTATTTCATCAAAACATCGCAACCGTACTTATCTAATCAATAAAAGTTTACCTTAACTGTTTGATATAAGACGAAGTGAAGTGGTATTTCACCAGATTAAAACATTTCTTAATAATAATAAATATTCGCTTCGTATAACTCACAGAGCAAATAAATAGTATATATATGTATAATATAACTCGAATGGCTCCGATTCTTGAACTTTAGATTCTTTTTTAATTTTTTGTAAGCATGTTTTGCCCCACTGCTGCGCAAAGACCTCCCCCTCTTTTCTCATCTTTCTCGGTCTTGGGCAATTTCTGGCCAGTCCTTTAAAAAAGAGTCTAAGTCATCCCGTTATCGCCGACGTGGTCTACCGCGTCTCTGTTTTGAGTCTGAGCGAAAAATATAAAATAGCTCTGTAATAATATAATATGTAGAGTCCTCCTACTATGATAATTTACTTCGTCGACGAATTACGCAAATACATGATAGGTATTATGATTTGTAGTTATTATTTTCAGGGATTCGAACCTGATCACTGTTGCATAGACTTTGGTGTTAATTACCTTGTTACTTCTATTTACAAAATACCTACTGTTGCTATCCATAAATTCTACGTGATTCTATTCCACGTGACAGAATGTTGACAATATTTATAAGTTTGGTAAAAATCCAAAAGTGGAGCGACTAGATTGAAAAGAATATTATATAATGAAAGATTTTTTACTTTTTAATTTCTGTTGAATTATTGACAAAAATTATATAAAATTTCCGGAGACAACAATTTTTAAGTTTTAATAGATTTATATTTTATAAAACGAAGTCAAAGACATTTTCAGTTTTGCAATCACGAGTTAACCCGAAACGAGACTATTGAACTGTTCTAAAATTTATATATGCATGCAGCGCTCTCTATGCGAAAATAGCAGCATCTCGCGGTTTAGGTCGCTGTCGCGATTGTCGTGGTTACTTCTTTAATTTAGCAATTGAAAATTTTTCTTTCATTTAGCGTTTCGCTGTTTTCTATGTAAAAGTTTTTGGTTCGTGGGTTTAGGAACAATCACATTATTCAGAAGGAAGGTTCTAGAATTGATGATTGAAAGATTGGATGTTGCTTATATCCTACCTGCAACATGCTGGGCGCGTATTTATTTATTTGAAAGGCAATTTTCATCAAAAATTTAAAGCGTGTGAAACTTTCACAAAACCCCGGCGCGGCAGCTTACGTAAAAACAGTAGAGCTCCTTGTGAAAGAGTTCGTCCATAGAAGTACTGCCACCTTACCTATTTCTACCGCCAAGCAGTAATGTGAGCTAATTACTTTCCGGTTTTGAAGGTAAGGGTGCCGGTGAAATTATAGGCACATGAGTAACATATTACTGCGTTCCGGTTTTGGAGGATAAGGGTACTGGTGAAATTATAGGCCCTGGGACTTATCAATTTATGTCTCAGAGAGACGGCAGCAGTGGCAGTGCCCCACAGATCTTTGCGTTCTAAAGCTCTGTATAGCACTGCAACTGCTATGGACTGACGTGGCGCTTACCACCAATACCACGACTTGGTCGCCCCGTCACTTAGTGTCTTAAAAAAAAATTACAAAATTACACCGTGCGATTTTAAGTACAGATTTGTTAGAGGTAAAAGTTGTGTAGTTAACGTAACACATTTAGTAAGTACTAACCTATCTGACAGAGTGTATGTGTTCGAACGTAATTAACTGAATATCGCAAAGTATAATGGGGCAGGGGAAAGAAACCGCTGTGTATTTGCCGCCTTATTATATCTTCGATTAAAAAGTTTTAAGTGCAACGGGTCATGAGTCAGGAGTCGCGTGCGCATATAGCATGAAACGCAACGGACGCGGTGACTGTCACGCTACAGAAAGTCCCCCTGGGCCTGCATGGACGCGGGCGGATCACCGCTCTGATGTGGACGTTTTTATTTTCCACTATTTACCACTGTTTTATAATTTGATCCAACTAGGGTGTATTTGAATTCAACGGATATTTCTATTGATTGAGTCATGGAGAATCAAAAAAGGTCAACAACGATCAAGGACTTTTTTCGCAGAATCCTTTGTAGTATTGTATTAATCCATATTCGTTTCGCAGTAGCGAGTGTCGTCTACCTTTATTGGTATACAATAGTATCATTGCCTGATCTTTCAATGAATCGACCGCTTTCAAACAGTGCCAATTGGTGTCATAGTCTGTACATATCTTAAAATGTAGTTGGACGGGTCATTCGTCGAACCATGTCCTTGATGACCGCGGTGTGAAACGACGACGTTTCTTTCAGTTCACTAAAACTTCGTGTTTCGGACTTATTATAAACTACTATGCAAAAATGAATGCTTTTTTACAAATTTCGGTACAGACCGGCAGAGAAATGTATGTAAATGTACACAAACTTACGAATTAGTTCACGCTTAGCTACCAAAACGATTTAAAGGCGTAAGTGAGCCATTCGTTCGAATACAAATTATGTTCATGTGTTAGTATAACACGCTTAACTTAGAAAGACAAATTTCGGCAAAAAGTAATTGTAGTGAGGGTGAAAAAACTTTGCCTAAAAATTCGCGGGTCTGAGATAAAATAGACTAAAAATAGAATGGTTATATTATAGTGTGAGACACACCAATAAATGTATCATTATTTTATTGTAAACTGAACATGTGAAGCCATGATAAGTTGTATAAAATCACACGTTTAAAACAGTTCGCTCAGCACTTGCTCTATTTTAGTAAACAACTCGCAAAATATTGGGCGCTTACATTTTTATGCAAGGACACCATGTTTAAATAAAATAAACTAAACCTTCAAATTACCGTAAAATAATTATGTTGAAAGGATAAGAGCTAACAAAGGAATATTTAAAAACGAAACGCAAAAGGACGTTTTTTTTACATAATATTTTTAGAAACTTCTGCTTTGTTGTACAAAATTAACTTTTTATAAGGTTTCCACCTTAACTGTGGAATAAAAAATAAGTGAGTTATAATAACTTGGACCGATCTAAAATGTTGTTTAGTTATAGGGAATCTGGGGTATAAAAAGATCCCACTTACTTAAGCTCTTCGACCTCCTTTTTCAGGCGCGTGACGTCGGTTAGGTGCAAAGTTTTCAAAATTTGGATTTGCTCTGCCAAGGCTTGCAGTTCCTCCTTGACTTTGATTTCAGCCGCGTTCACAACGATAAGAGAAACAAAAGTCACGAGACCGGCACATTTAATAATGCACTTCATGGTCGCGATGTTAGTGCGGAGTTGGTGCGGGTGCGAGAAGCGGACGCGCGAGCGTGTAGCTCAGCTCGCGGGCAGGACACGAATAGCTGGGACGCGGGAAAATACCCGGTTATAAGGGACGGAGCACGCACCCTGGCGCCCCGTAGAAACACCCCACGCGCTGTCGTCGGGCTGCTATGAACGCCGCAGATGCGTTCAACAGTTGTTCCGAAGTCCGATATCTCGTTTATGAGCTCGTATATCACACGCAACAGATAATTTTTATTATGTTCAACAGTAAATAAACCTACAGAGGACCGAAATAGGAAACGCCTAGAAACAAATTTATATCAAAATCAATGAGGCAAGTTTACAATATACTTTTCAGCCTTATTACGGAAACCATAAGATATTTGAAAAATTCCTAAGTACCAGTACCTAATTCGGTTTTCTTACGTGATCAGGTCAGTTTGTAAGCTGTCGATTCATATTTGTCAAATAAATTAGATTTACTTCATCCGTTTCTACCGAGACGGTTGCACAGAAAACGAAATCCCGTAGTTTTAAATTATGTTATTGTACTTGACTTTACTTTAGCCGTTGGCCGCAAAAGTCTATGATGTCTATATACCTAAGCATATTTGTGAAAACACAGCAAGTTCAGAGGGTTAAGTTTTTGTAATTTAACATCACATGAAACCAAACTATGCCGTAACTCAAATTTTTAATTTTCATGACAAATCGTGTCTTTTCAATTCCACAATTTTGAGCTACGACTGTATTTGGTTCATTCATGTGCGAATATATTTATTTCCTTGAGCTTATTACCTCCTACGACCCAGCAAACTACAATGGAAGAAGCGCTAAATGTTCAACGTATATTAAAATGCACTTAATAGTATAATTACATGCTTCAGGTCCAATCAATTATGGTCTAAAATGCAACCGGGATTTTTTTAGTCCTTTTTTAGATACATGTGATCATATAGAATATATACCGCTAAATTATAATACTATATTTTCATTATAAGTCTACGTGATCAAGTCAAGTTTACGTGATCATAGGAATAATATTGTTTAGGTCTGAGTCACTTCACGAATAATGGACATTTTGACGTACACGGGGCCTTAGGAGTTTCGTATAAAGCCTGAAATGCAGGTTTGTAAACATGCTATATTGCTATAAACAATGTGCAGCAGTGTCTCCAATTAGGCCCAGTCAGCGGATAGGAGAGAGATAACACTGTGCAAAGCGCGGAACTGAGACGAGTCCCCGTGGCTCTATAAACAGCTCTAATGTCTTCGCCAGACGTCTTTGCTACCAAGCGGGAGTTATTCAACTTTAAACTGTTTATTAGCTTGGCAAGATTATAGGTTCCTCTGTAGTAGTCGAATGTGGCAAAAAAGTTGCTATTTTATATCTTTCCGACAACGGCACAAGCACAAGCTACACCTATAAAAGACTAACTAATTCACTTTTTTAACACATTTTTTGAAGCTCCCTTCCAGGGCGCGTATTCCCTCTGTCTTACGATATGGGGTCCTTCAAACGAGCCGTGAAGAGTCATCCTGTAGGCATGCAGGGTTTAAAAACAAAAGTTAAAAACAAAACACATTAAAAATAAAAGTTAAATTTCAATTTAAAAAAGTCCTGATACAAACTATTGTACTCCAAAAATTCAATTTTTGAGCAGTTGGGTAGTCTGCAGACAGAAATGTAAGTAGAATATAAGCGGGTTATATATAAGACGTGAGTCGGTTCGAATCTGGCCAGATCGAAGGATTTTTTTCTGAGTGTTCGATCATTGTATTAATAATTATAACAAATTAGTGGAGTAATTTCACAAAAAAAAAGAATTGAAAATCGATTCAATGCAAATTTAATTTTGATAACTAATTCAGTTAAAATCAAAAATAACCTCCATATAAAAGATATACTTCAAAAGTCTCCATCAGTACCCAAGACAGCTACTCCTCGAGATCAATTTCACGAGCTCCAGCCTTCCAACACGATAATTCTACTGTAAGCAGATAAGGAGTTAGGTACACTGTCCTAGTTACAGCATCAAAATAATGTAGGTTAGCATATTGTTGCAATGACATCGAATTTTCATAGTATACCAATATTCAAGTCGGTCCATCAAGTGGAAGTAAAAGAAATATTCATTATATGACTGAGATCCCTAGACTAACTTGGAAAAGCGCTGACGATCTTTAAACTGTTGAACAGGAGGCATAAAACATAGGTAGAATCATTTCAATTAAATTAGTCTTCAAATTAAAAAAACCGCTTTGATATCAGGCCATCTACAATTCCACAAACAATACACAGACTAAGGCTTCAGACTTATAAATCCTCTCTTTTTGCGTCGGGATTGTATGCTCAACTGTATAGAGATCATCAGCTCGTTTTCTTATTACATAGGGCGCACTATAAGTTTCCGGTGGCCACTTGCATAAACAATATTTAAAAAGTAATTACAACATTTGAATGGAACTCTTAACTTGTTTTTACATTGTGGCGTCATTTTAGAAATTGGTTGTCTACATCACCATGGATTTAACTCGTGAAAATTTTCGTAGTATGATTTTCTACGACTTTAAGTGTAATCTAACAGCTCAGCTTTTCGCGATGAAGTACCATGCAAGACGACTATTTTGTAGCTGGTTTGCTGAATTCAAACGCGGTCGTGTGAATCTTAGTGACGAATTTTGTGATGGTCGCCCGTCCACTGTGCTGTGAACAACAAAACATCGATGCTGTGCGCCGTATGATCAGAACAGACAGGCTTGTGATATACCATGAGATTCGGGCATCTTTAGGCATAGGCATGACTCAAATACAGTCAATTCAAACAAACATTTGGGTTTGAAAAAACTGTGCTTTGGTGGATCCCACACAATTTGACTGAGGCTCAAAAAACGGATCGCGTCACTTGGTGCAATAGGTACCATGCTTACCAGATTCAACGAAAGGGCGTCAAATTTGGTATGGTACATAGTAACAGGTGATGAAACATGGATTTATATTTGCGATCCCAAAACAAAGCAGCAATCGAGCGTATGGGTCTTTCGAGATGAGCCGAAACCAACCAAAGTGGAGCGCGTGCAAAGTGCCTCTCAGCGGATGATTGCTTCTTTTTTGAATGAAACTGGACACGTGGCTACTGTTGTTTTGAAGAATCGTTGTACCGTGAATAGTGATTGGTACCCTACCTTTTGTTTGCCGGAAGTTATTGACAAACTTCGTAAAAATATTAATCGTATTATCTTGCACCACAATAATACCAGTTCTCACACGGCCAGACAGACAAATGAATTTTTGAAGGTGAACAACGTTGAAAGGGTTGTAACCTTAAAAAGCCGTGACCAGGTTCACTGCAATAAAACAGATTCCGGTCTACAAATTTATTAAAAGTCGGGTTAAGAAGAAATGTAACAAAGAAGTAATGATTATGGAGCAAGGAGTAAGGCTGTCATAATAAAAAGGTATATATAGAAAAACAGGTACATTAATATAAAACACTTCCTAACTTGATGAATACGATATTAAGTACACTTACCCCAAATGGGCCGAGATATACTAAATTACAGATACGTATTCATAGGTACATGATAAGGCTGTAGACTTATTAGAATTGACACATGATTTAAATTATATTATAACTTACTAAAAAAAAATCAAAATTAGACGCGATTGAATTTAAACAGCTCCGTCCGCTGTCGCGATCGAGCAGGTAGTGACGATGGAACGAAACAAAATCAGAATGTGAGGCAAAAGAATAGAACAATTCAAATTTTAAATTTAAATACAAGTGGCCAGGAACCAGAGAAACGCGATAAAAAGGTGGGATGACGATGCAAGAAGGTCACACTGTCACAATGTTGACCTTATGAGCCATCCCGCATACAGTCCGGACCTGGCACCTTGTGACTTATTTATTTCCAAAGATTAAGAACCAGTTACGCGGTCAACGATTTTCATTACCTGAAGAGGCTGTTGAAGAGTATGAAAAATATGTTTCAGAGATGTTCACGGAGGAGTGGCATACATGTTATCAAAATTGGTTCATTCGTATGAAAAAGTGCATTAACGCTAACGGAGAATATTTTGAGAAACAATAAATTCATTTCTGATCATTTATAGTATTTTTTTCTTATTCATTCCGGAAACTTATAGAGCGCCCCACGTAGTGAAAGGATCTGTTATAAAATTAAAGTTTATATAACTTCAAATATTTTTTTATAATCAGGTGACGGCATGAACCAGTTGTCGGCCTGGTGGTAAGGGACACGCCTGTTCATACCAGTTGCAGTGCCACTCAGAGATTTAAACCGCAAAGACCGCAGATGCACTGCCACTGCCTCCGTCACATAAGACTGAGACGTAAGTTGATAAGACCCTTGTGCCCGTAAGTTCACCATAAGCGGCAACCCTCCTCTTTAAAAGCGAAACGCAGTAATCCAAATATTACTGCTTGGCGGCAAAAACAGGTTAGTACTTCCCTGGACGAACTCTTTGACAAGGAGCACTACGGTTAAAAAACACTTGTTAGATAGACTTGAAATTTAGTTTATGTATATGTTTAACATGGTAAACTTTGATCTGACTATACAATTCCTGAACTATGTACCTACTTACATTACGCAAAGGCATGCACACACAACCGCGCACGCACGCACACACGCACGCTCGCACGCATGCATGCACGCACGCACACACACAGAAACACAGACACGCGCACGCATACACGCATGTTTGGTGACATAATTATTTGGACAGATTATATAAATTAGATTAATTTATTTTACTACTATAAACATTGACTTACAATTATATGGACGTCGGGTCCGCGCTAAAAAGTGTCCGCACTTGTAAGGCGCTAAAATCGTATACAGAGCGCGACACTCCGCTTTAGTCTTCATTTGTTCTACGGGCAGCGCGATACTGCGATGACATAACAATTTAAATTTCGAATAGGTTGACTTGGGACATTTTTTTCGTGGTTTTTGTATTAGACCCGTCGTCCATTTATTTGTAAGTCAATGACTATAAATAAATAAATAAATAACGCACACACTCAACATAGCCC